AATGCTATATACACATTCAGTGTAACTTTTCATGTATCATACAGTTATTCCGTTTTGATTACAACAAAATAAGGACATCGCTACATGAGAAATCAGGTGAAAAATCCAATGTTGTAAAATTTGAATTTCAAACGCTCATAAAAATTTAATTTGACTGTCCGGTAGAGATTTTTTTATTGATAAGGTAAGATAATCTTATAAGGAATCTTGTGTTTCATTTTCAAATCTTAGATTTAAAAAGAAAAATTTTTACGAATTCTTAACTCAAAATAATTTGCTAATTTTCGTGATTTTTCCATATTTGTCAATTTTTGAACTTTAAATGCTTATAAAAAAAAATTGTGACTAAGGATTTTTAATATTTTTCATCTGCCTTTGAAACAACATATTAGGAGCCTTCTATTAAATTTTCAAGCTTTCGCAAACAATAAATAAAATTTTATTGATATTTTTAGAAAAAAAACTAAAAAAATTGAAAAATGAAAATATCCCTAAACAGTTCAAAATAAATCAAAATATTTTGAAAATGTTATCGTGTATAGAAAATGCAAATATAAACAACCAGTGAAAATTTCATGTATATACGTTCATTTGTTTTAGAGTTACACCAATAACCAAAATCGATTTTTTGGAAAACCAATTTTGCGTAAAAATTCCCGTTTTTCCTTAATTTTTATGTTGTTTTTCCCGGCGCTTGTGAAAACTACTGGGAAACTTTGATCAATTTGAAAAATAAAAAAATCGAACATTAACTTCCAAAACTACGGTATTGAATAAATAAATAAGAAAATCGCTACATGAGAATCAAGGGAATATCACTGTTATAAAACATGACTTTCAAAACACTTCTACAAATTGATTTGCTTCGCTTGTCGACATTTATTTTTTGAGAAAGGTAAACAAAACTTATGAGGAATCTTGTATTACATTTTCATATCTAGATTAAAACAGAAAATTTTATGAATTGTTTAACTCGATTAATTTGATAATTTTCATGATTATTCCGTATTTTGTCAAGATTTGAACTTTAAATGCTTATAAAAAATAACTGTGACAAAGGATTTTTAATATTTTTTCAAATTTCGTTTGTAACCATATAATGGGAGCCTCGTATTAATTTTCACGCTTTTTTACCTAACAAATAAAGTTTTATTGGCATTGATAAAAAAAAAAACACAAAATAATGGAAATTGAAAATGTCCGTAAACAACACAAAATAAGTGAAAATTTTTTGAAAATGTAATAGTGTATAGAAAATGATAGTATAAACATTCAGTCAACATTTCATGAATTTACGATAATTTGTTTTAGAGTTACACGAAAAACCAAAATCGATTTTGCGTAAAAATTCTCGTTTTTCCTTAATTTTTCGCGGCGTTTTTTAAAATTACTGGGAATTTTGACCTCCCCAATATTCACTTTCCCATCGAACAAGATACTGAAGTCGAAAATCGAAGCATTATTTCGACTACTTATAGTGTACAGACACAAAAATAAAAAATAAAAAAAACACATCATTGTAAAATCAATACATTCATCGCTCCGCTCAGAATCTAAAAGTAAAAACCATTAGAACAAAGTTTTTAATTTTAAGGTATAGAACTATATAGATCAATGAAATAATAATTCCAGGAATGAACATCATTGGAGGGTTTTTCAATAACTGAATAAAAAAGACATAAACATTTTGAATTATCAGTATAATATAACTTTTACCAATACTAAGCTGATATTCTCATAATTATTGAGCTAAGTTAATCAATAGTTAAATATACATATGTATACATAATCGTAAGATATTTTAAATTCGAATGGTAAAATAATATAAAATGCTCAACGAGTGTAATAAAAAATAATAGTATTAATGTTAACTATATTAAATACTTTAAATATTTATAAGTTATTATACCTAACATTTAACAAGAAACCTATTTACAAAATTACACATTCCGATAGAGCTGCTCTTCGGCCTTGAACTTATTTAAACTTATGAGAATAACTAATCTATAATAATTTTGTATGATCTATATAAATAAGTATATCTAAAAATAAATAGGTAGATAAATGTGATCCGCTACTATCCAATAATATGCTGAAGCCAGGGCTCCGAATGGACAGATCCAGTTCACAGAGGAAAAAAGTATGTCGTTCTAGTCAGTTCTAGTGCACAAACCAATTTTACATTAACTATCTTTGTATATAGTATATAATTATATATACATAATATAATGTATTAAAAAATAATATTTGTTAAGGTTCAGTAAATCATACATTTTGAGCACTGGCTGAATAGAAAAAAAATAACACTGATACGAAGGTTAAGCACTAAGCAGTTCCCGTATGCATCTCTTGGAGGGCGGGGAATGACGGGTCTCAACTCTCAAGAAGAGATCCATAGTAACACCCTTTATAGTTTATAACCCCCGCTATGTGATTATTGAATATTTGAGTGTATCACTGGTGTAGGGGTGAAGTTTATCATCGTGTAATCCAGAATCACAAGACTAACTATAAAAATGTAGAAGGTTCCAATGTTCAGTTTTCTATTAAAATTACACTCCAGTATACACACAACTTCACAAGAGAAATAGGAGTAAGTTCCAATTGAATTTGTAGGTTTGATTTTTACGTAAAATATAAATGATATATTATTAAATATAAAAATAATAATTTTTAGAAGCAATATGAAATTCATCACTCGTCACATATTTACATTTATTAAAGTGTTATTGATTCTCAAAATGCACTATATAAGTGCATATTAATATATTATAACAATATTGTAATAAAAGTTTTATCATCAAATTTTCGCATTAGCGCACGTCCATGTGAAATTTGTGTGCATATACGTTATTAGTTACTTATTAGTTATTACTTATTACTTATAAGTTATTAAATAAAAAACTGGGCACTGGCCCTCGTCATATTATACGACTCACCATGAAGCCTGGGCAAATGCATTGTTGGATCGCAAAACATAATGATTGGAGATTTTTCACGGCCAGCAAGCAGATCCAAACCACTATGGAAGCTTGGGCTTTTGGGCAGAAACGGTACGCCGGATTGCAGGTTACCCGCCACCGCTGCAGCAGTGCCGTTGGCAGTTGTACTCAGCGAGAGCGTACGACCGCCCGCAGATTTGTTCACTACCATAATCACCGCGCCACAGGCTCTTAACCGTAACACCCATTTAAGATCATCTAGTTCTCGTTACCATAATATAATAGCACAAACGTGAGCACCACCACAGCTAGCAGAAGACAGTGACATGCCACTACACCGTTCGAATGGGGTAGATAATGTTACTTAGACGTCAAAAATGAAAATTCCATATATTTGGTTTTCGTTACCTTCCTAGCTAAATTTGAAACGAAATAAATAAGAAAATGATTACCTAATTTGAACGAAATTACTGTCCATGTCCGATTGTAGAGTGTAAAAGATCAAACTACCTAAATATTATTTTGAATACTTAATAATCCGACATCTCGCGTGTTAAGAAAAAACACTACCTACGTAATTAGTTGTTGTGAACGAATACGCATGTTAACTTACACAGTTTCAGTAGCAATAAGTAATAACTCAATAATATTTAAAACACTAGACGATTAGCATTTGAATAATATCCTATTATGATTTATGAATATTTTATTTTTAACAAAGATATTTAAATTAGCAGACAATATAAATATATATTGCATAATGTGTTTATTAAATAAATATAGAAAACTTAGTGTATTTTTTTTTTCACTCGAATTCCATAAATTATTTTCTTATTAATAACATATGTTAGTTATTAAGTACCAAAAAAAAAAAAAAACAAATACTTGAAACTAGATAATTTAATATCGTTAAAACAACAACCTTCAAGCTTCAGAGTAAAAATATAGTTGCTAAATTTAAAAATATAATATAATGTATTTATGCATTAACAAAAAATAAATAACATACCTATCATATAAAGTATAAGTCTAAGCCACAAAAGAATTCTAATAAGAAACCGAAAATATAAGTACAGAAAAATCGGTAAATTTCATTTAATAACTAGGGTTCTTATCGTAGGTGTTTTCATTATATTTTAAATTAAACCGTCCGTGACGAGGTGACCCCACCCTCGATCGACCTTTTGGCATTTACCGAACTCGAAATGGAATTAACCACGAACGTATACAAGTTGTCTGCGAAAATCACCATCTACACGATTTCCGTGTGTTAGTAACTACCGTCAAAAATATATATGATAATATCATATCATTTTAATAATATGACGACTATAGGACGTACAACGAGTATATTATTATATACCTACATCGAATATTCGAATGCCGATTGAAGATTACATTTTTACGCGATTACGGCGGGAAACAAATGAGATAATATCATTGTGATTCATAATATTATTATTATATATACTCTACAATCGACAGGTGACAATCAGACAATACCTATATTATATTATTATTATTACAATAATCTATGACGGAAATACGGAATCAAAAACCGTTCCGATGTGAGTTCCAACATTTACAGCGCTAAGTTTTCTCAAACGGCGAGCAATAAGATATAATAATATCAATAATAGTAATAATAATAATAATAGTAATAATAATAATATATAATATAGTATTAAGTGCCAATATAAGAATTTTATGTACAGAAACCTCGCGAGTGCAACGGCGACGACGACACGATTGCGCGCGCGCGCGCCCCGGGTGAGTGCGATTTTATTGAATTTATTACAATTTTGTTTGTCGACGAATTACTACAACAATTGGCTTAACGCGAGCGACAATTAATCGTGAATGCGTACGCGGATCGGCGACAACGAGGACGACCAAAACTTAAAACATCAAATGTTGTCGAAACGGACGCGCGCGCACGTGCATGGCGTTTCGGCGACGGTGTTTCGTGGACTAGAGCGGCGTCTGTGAGCTTTTGGTTCGAGGTGGATCGATGGTGGCGGCAAATAGGTGCGTGGGCGGAGCGGCGGGGTGGAAATAATGGCTGGTAGAGTGGTAGAACGAGAAAGTGGTGGCCGGGATGAGCGCTGCCATGGGGTAACCAAGGAAACACACGTCGAACACCAGTCGCCGCCACGGCTGGCCGGAGTCGAGAGTGCTGGACGGCTGTGCCGAACGCTAGCGGCGCCTAGACCGCCACACGTAGCGACAAGCACGGCGACCGGGTGGCCAGATGTCGCTACTATTCCGCGCGGTGGCACGTGTGTGCGGCCACCGGCGTAACAAGTGTTGGTCGTGTGGTGTGTCCGACCAGCGTCGGGCCGGCCCGCTGGCGCCCGTCAAGAGCGCGAATTGCAATAATTTAAAACAAATGAAGTGATAATAATATGACGGTAATTAATAATTATTTCCATAGGCATTAGGCCGTAGAGCACACGAAATACGAATAAAGGTCCAAATGTCCAATGTCCTGCCTCGTATGTGTGAGTGTATACATGAATATAAATAGAAATTACGACGTATCCAACTATCCAAGTATCCAACAATATGTATTATATAATATGTATGTACGATGTACGTATACATAATTTTCTAACCGAGTAGAATAGATAAGCTTTATGATTGGAGGGTGGTTTTATGGTATTTAAATTTTTATGGGAGTTATGGGTATATCTGTATATACAATGTTACAATTTAAAATTTTCATATCTAGCAAAAAAATTAATATAGGTATATTGAGAGATAGCAAACACAAAAGCACATATTATTACAATGTTCTTAACTTTATGTCTGATAATAGGTCAATTAATTCTAATACTAAAGCTAACAACTCAAGGTTGATTCTGCTGAACGCTAATTTGCTGTGTTGCACATGGGTCAAAGAGAAAAAATTAATAGTGCGCTGACATCCTTATTTTATTACCAAAGTTACCAAAGTGTTCACATTTTAAGTCAATACAATGTTTCTGATCATATTATGTTACCTATTTTAACTAATAAGTAATAACTATGTGTCAATTATCAATAAATATCATTTCGTTTATGAGCATTAGCCCTTTAAGTTCATATTACCTACAAAAAAAATGAATGAATTTCATTAATTATAAGTTATAACAATATAATATTTACTGTGCAACAATAGCTTTCAGTATTGTGAGTTAAAAAACATTTACTAAAAATCTAAAATTAAAAATATGTATTATAGATAGAATTTTTTTATATAATGATCAACTATAGATTATTCTTTGACTATAATATATACATTTTTGAAAATGTAATCATTGTTTCAACGCCAATGCCAACACAGTTATATTCATAGGCACGGCACAGACAGTTGCAGTGTTTATTTCAGGGGGTGACCTGACCTAACCTGTATATCACCCCAAAAATATTTTTTTACTTCATTATTTACGTATGGCATTCCTACTTGAAAATTTACAACCCCCTCGGGATAGAAGGTCTGAAATAAATACAGGGCACAGGGCTAAATTGATAATGCAAATATTTTTTTACTTTAATTGCATGTAAACATATTATATGAATACAATTAAATTGTAAGATAGATTTTTAAAAAAACTACTTAATCATCACATTTTTTAATAAAATAATAAATCAGATAACAAATACTTACCAAATATCCATCAATATTTTACAAATTACATCCATTGTTTATGAACTAATATAATTAGTTTAATTAGGATCATTAGTGACTACTTATAATCCTAGACGACTTAAATCCTAGTTCACCAAATGTACCAGGTATATAATGTTTATAAATTAACCCCATATCATACATATACTAATATTCATAAAATTAAAGAATAATGTAATTAAGAAGTTACTTCAAGCACCTATTTAGTTTGAGCCATACAATCTCCATTCAGAAATATTATTTATAAGCAAACATTTTTCAATACTACTCAAAAGATAATATAAAATTAAAAATTCTTGTATGCTCAATTGTGTTATTTAAATAGTATTCAATGAGTTTTGCAACAAAAAATGTTGAACTTGAAAAGTTAAATTTTGTTGCAAACACTGAATATAAAATGATTGCATTTGTGCATTGATGAGTGAGAGAATCTCCATCACTAACAATTAATTTAAATATGTAAAAAACATATATAAATATATGTGCATCAATAAAAAAATAAATTGTTAATAAATAGTACTATCACAATATATTCAAAAGAACTTTCACAACATTTAAACAATCTCTCAGAAAAAATTACCTAAATGTATCATTTTCAGTTTTTATCTTATAATATTCAAATATTTAGAACATATACATACCATTAAGTGATTGTAGAACCTGAAGTTCGCGATTGGTAGCTACAACATTGAAACGTGAAGAGTTTTGTCTTTTTTCTCTTTTAATTGTGATTGGTCCTAACTTAAGTTTGTTTATTTGTGTTGGTGGTGGACTAGGAGCAGTAGTTGAATGCCCAATAGAAGTGCCATCTTGTACCTATATAATAATTTTAAAAAATATATAATAATAAGATCATTTAATTTATAAAAATTGACAATAAATAGTGGTATTAAAACAAATATTAATGTATGAATACTAATTGCCAACCTGGAATTATAAATTATTTTTATGATTAAAACTAAAAGTTTCTAATACATAATTAAAATATGTTTGAAACGAAATCAAGTATAGAATAATGAATTTCAATTAGCTAATAAGCAATTGTTTTTTTATGTTTAAAACCATTTCACATTAAATAAGAGGAAAATATTACTTGTTTGATATTTAAAATTGCTTCCACGACATTTTTACTAATCTCAAGTCTATCAATCACTAGGTACTTGGCTATTATGAACCAAATAAATGATCAATCAAATTTTTCCAGTCACACCAATCAATATTTGAATAACTAATGGAACTTGCTCTACTAAATTAGAGACTTTGAGACTACTTTGTCATATCATTGAGTAGATCACTATAATAGATGTGTTTATAAGCGTGAGCAGAATTTCTGGCGGGGTAGTCATACATAATTACATACCGCATTAACACACACACACACATATTACGTAGATATATTCATATTCGCACCTAAGTTATAATAACTAATTTGGATGGGGTAACCTCATTTAACTATATTTACCATAGTAAAAAAGTATTTTATGATTGACTATCAATTATCATGATAATAATATTGAATATTGAGGGGGGAAAGTTCACAGAGTAGTCAAGTGCCTACCATGACTACCCCGTGCGCTCTTAAGAATGTGTTAAATTTGAATTCAATGATAAATCATTCTAAACAAACAACTAATCTAGGTAGGGCTGCTCATCAATATCTGTTTCTAAGGATATTTGAATATTTGATAATATTTATAATTTAGTGTTATAACTTGGGTTACAATAAGTCCCGGTTTGGAATATAGGAATAGAACTTCAATAATTGTTGTTAAAATTTGTTGTTTTGTCTTTTACTTAACATTTCTTATAGAGAAACAATATTGTTTTGATAAATAATAAAATAATTCAGTAGATTTTACGATTGACTAGCTTGGTGATGACAAGTATTACTGAATGTTTGTTATTATCCTATACTCCCTTGACAATTTTTGTTATCAATTATTTCAAATTAATAATTTTGTTGGTTACTCATTTCGATTTGTAACATTGAGTTAGTTTTTATAATTGCGAGTGGTATTCTATAGTTATAAAAAAATGTGTGTTATAACTGGTTGATCAGGGAGGAGTAAAACAATTTTTGACATAAAAATAATACAAAAAATGTTTGTCCCCGTTTGAGTAAAATAAAATATGGCATTCCTAATCTAATATAACCTAGTATAATATAGTTTTAAAAATTTTTTTTAATAATTTTCGTCACAAATTATTGTAATTTTTAACAGCTTTCATAAAAATCTATCAACTATGTCTGCTGTATATTATTTCATATTTTATATAATTACTTATTTAAATATTTAAACTTTTATACTCTGCGTACTAAGGTAATGAAGGTCAAATCATGTGCCCTTCAAATAAAAAAAACTATATTGCCTATTTAAAAATAATAATTATCAATAGGTAATACAAGTCTTAAAATTTGTATTTTAATCAAAATGCAAAAAAGTAGAAAAATTTTAAATTTCATAATGAACAAACTTAAATAAAACAATCTTTTTTAATACCTTATGTCAATTATGATTAAACAGTAATAAAACATGGTTAAATAATAATTTTTTATGATAAATGACATATTTGAACTTGGTACTACACTTACATTTGCACTTTTAACAATTAATATCTTATCATATGTCTTATAATATTTTTGTTGCTGTTTGATATCTTACTTATACAATATTTAATTATTATTGCTGTTGGTAACATCAGCTAGAAACACCTAAAATATTATTAGTTATAATGAACAAAAAGTATTTTAAGTAACTAAAAATTCTATCTAAAATTCTAGTTTAGCAAACTTTTGACATTACCATGAATACCTACATATAATATACTTTGACTTATGAAACGTTGCATATAAAGTAATTTAATATTTCTGATTTATTGCAATTAGAAAGTTACCAGAATCTGTTTTTTTAATATAATAATAAAATACAAATTGAAAAATTGAGTTTTTAATTTAACTATATTTAAACATTATTTAAAATTAATTAAACCAACACTTATTTTGTTTCTGTTAATTTTAAAATTATTTATTTTTTTTTGTAACTAATAATATTAGTTGTTATAACTTGATTTCAAACTTTGATTGTTAATATAATATTATAATCTATTATAATGAATGTCAAATACATATATATATTTTTTTAACTGTCAAAATTAATTCATAGACACACACACATACACATTACACATGTTACAAACATTCTGTTGATTACATTTTTAGCCATCCCCCACTTATTTTGAGCCACTTCGACTACTGCAGATACTATTATGCCATAGCCAATAGATTAAATATTTGATCATAATTGTTATTATTTCATTTTAGACATCAAGTACTTATTTTAAAATTGGAATTCAACAAAATATCTGATTAATATTTATTTAATATATTTTTTGATATATGATAAGATGAAAATATTTCTAAAAAATGTCATGTTTAATTCTTTGCCAGTCAAATAATTAAGCATAGGTAATGCAACACTTTTGAGAAAATTAAAAAAAAAATGCATATTTGAAAAGCAATTTTATAAATAAATTAGGTACATATTATACTAACCAATCTTTTACAGGATGATTATTTTAAATAAGGCATTGATTTTTTAATTATTACTATGAATTTAAAATGATAATTATTTCTTAGTTATACTAATTAATAGTACAAATATTAAATTATTTATAATTTTCAAAAACTACTTAAATTATGCAGGTCTAAATTAACTGGCATTTTCATAAATCGGAACTCATATTGGTTTTGAATGAAATACATTTTTTAAGTCATTCTGCCTTATCATGTGGATTATACAGGACTTAAGACTACTTAAACACACTTGAAACATTAAAACATGTTCTCAGAATACTGAATAATATGCAATAAGCCAATACAATTTATAGACAATACTTCACATACCATAATATTTAACGTTTTATAATTTGTTTCAACCTATTTTGTATGCTATATAAGAAATAAGAATCTTAGATAATTACTCTCGGGTTATTAAGAGTACCCAGTAAAATTTAGTATACCAATCAGAACTCTTATTTTATTATTTATCATAAATTCATAGAAAAGTTATGTCATAACCATAATAAATTTATTGGTGACACTAGTGGTGAAATATTTTTTATGTTTTATTTAAGAAATAAGTAGGTAGCTAACACAACTTACATCATCTCCGGACATTTCTACTCCTGATCCATTTTTTACCTCAATATTTTTAGACTTGGAAATGTCCTAGAATATAACAAATTATTAAAACAACAAGAAATGCACTTTTTATTTTTTTTTTGCTCATCTATAAAATAAATAATGTACCATCATGCATATCTACCATAAATATATAAGTTAAGGACGAGATACAATTATAATTGACTTAAACAACTTCATGAATACAGTCATACATTTGTTTTTTTTATGTATTTCTATATGTATTTTTTTAAATCATGGTTTGATGATTATAGTATTATTTTAGTATTGCTGCCTGTTTTATGTTATATAAATTTAAACTAAAAATATAAAACAATTATTGTATCTATTTTACTATCTTGAATATACACATACATTATAACATGAATAATATTGGTATGATAGTCAGATGTACCTAATACAATTTATCCACTTATCTATATTATATTATTCTCATAAACATAATAGTATAAACTCGCTTGTCATAGTTAATTACAAACATTATACAGGAAATATAATATCATTGCATGTAAGTATATTAAATCAGTCTTCAGATTTAAATGTTGTGAAATTAAAATGTGTTAGAATAAGTATCTAAAAATATGCAGTAATCAGCTCAACAAATATACTATTTTGTAAAATATATCTACATAGGCATTATTAGGTATTAAAACCTGATAATTTTATTAGTGTCCATATATATATATAATAATAACAATCAAACCTATGAAATAAAATAATTGAGTAGAAATTGAGGGGAAATATGTGTGAAAAATCATGCAGTAAAAATTCATTAGGATAAAGAAATACATAGGTGATAGGCCAAACAAATATAAGTTGAGCAATCGTTTACCTTGTCTTTTTTCAGTAGTATCCTATTTGGCATTTTCAATTCGTTCACAATGTCATAAACGTCCTGAAACACAGTAAAATTATATTTGCGTATATTTTAAGAAATTTGTTAACTTAAAACTCAAAACGTATTAAACTTTCCCACGAAACTCGGTACTTTTTCGTTTTTTTTTATTGTCAACACAATGAACTGCGTAACAGTTTGTTAAGTGGAGAAAGAAACCTTTCGGTTATCTGTCTAACAAACGTATACAACATCAGTTCATTTTTGATAGGAATATTATGCGATGTGCGTAGTGCGTACGCCGTACAGAGTAAATACTAAATTGCGTATTGGATTTGGATTCAACAATTTAAGATTAAGAATTAAGATACATTAGGGCTTGAATGTTGTATTTATATGATCAAAAATTGTGCTCATAAGTTTGTTGTCTGTTTGAGACATTCCGTTGAAGTACTGTTCTGTAGTGTTGTGGTTGTACTCTTGTCAAAGAATAATAAACTCATAAATAATATGATGAATGATAGTCAGATAATATTATAATTTACTATTATGCCTAAACTTGAGAGTTTTTGACGTTGTAAAAGCGTTTCAACAGTTGTTATGAAATAATTATTTTTTAATTTAATCACTTTAATAGACTGTAGTCTATCAACACAACATCACTGCGTAATGCGTACCTACCTATATTCCATGCTTTAAACATAATAGATGGGTACCGTCTACTGTAATATTAGCCATTTTATAATATAATCCATTTCTTATTAGGTGTTCTTATTATTCTCTCTTTATTCTATATTGTACAAAAACTGTCATATATTCTTTAAAATAAGTCATATTATTTCGGTGATTTAAATAATAATAAATATGTATTTTTATATTTTTACCCTAATCACTGAATGCAATTTAGATGAAATTTAAAATGTTATGAATTGTATCTATAATTCTTTACCCCAACCCCGAGTATTGTAAAATTGATTTGTACGCTATAATCGGTAATCTGAAAAAATCCCCAAATCAAATACTTACCTATATTTAATTGTACATCTTAAAATACTCATAACTCGCTTTAAAATTAAAATATATAATAAAAAACCTATTATATTATTACTTAGATAATAAATAATAATCTTACCTTTAAATTTTATGATAGGTCAATTTACTCAAAGTTTTAAACTAACGTTATCTACTGAGCGTAAAATGTTTCGTTTTTTTAAATAAGTATTTTTATTTTTTTATGTGTAAAATGACTTGAATATTTATTTATTATATTACTGTGTTTTTGTGGATACACCGTATATTATTTTACCTTTTCCCCTTCATGAAATTGACAATTTTATTTATAGATCGATGATCGATTTCGTATAAGAGTTGTTATACTTGTTATACTGTTTCCGATCAGACGTCAAAAATATATTTTAATAAATAAATATTAAATATGTAAATAAGTTTATTATTATTAAAAGTATCCAACTGATACTTTAATTTTACAGTAAAATCTAGACAAGTTTTTTACTTGGAGTCGTAAAAAATGATATCTTACTAAATATAAATAATTGTAGTGTTATTACTTATAAATTATAATCATAAAATTGATAATAGTAATATAATAGGTACTAAAAACTACTTTAGTTAAAAAATAATTTAATGTGTTTGGATTCAGATGCCAGGAATACAATTAATTTTAAAAATATTAACTCATTTAAAACATTTTAAACGTTATATTATTTAACTATTTAATAACACTGTTGTATTTGCCAAATTAAGATTCTACTTACTGTACTATTATTACTAAAGGGTACCTACCCGGTACCCCCTAAATAAATATTTACATAGCAATATCAATATAACATATAAATATATAATATAAATTATAATATGTCCCTATTTGTCAATATTATATACCTACCTAATAATTATCATTCAAATTTTATATTTTTTTACAGCTATATCCAATAGTTAGGTAAAGCTACGGACTAATATATACCTAGTATATAGATACGCCCCACTGGTCGGAAGTAGCTCTCTAATTGTAGCGACGCTACATTAGCACTCTACTTAAGGGGGAGAGATAAACGGAACCTAGGAAAAAAAAGCCCGTACCAACTAAATACATTTTCTTTTTTATTATGATTTACATAATAAATATAATCATAATATAATCATTACATTTATCAATGTACTTAACACTTCTTTAACATAATATCTATAACCATAAAATATATAATATTCTAAAATACTAGTTTAAAATTTTGTAAATTAATAAACTGTTAAAGTGTTAAAACATTAATGTTAACAATTGTTTTACATTAATCATTAAATTAATCATCATATTATTAGGTACCTATATGGCTATATGTATCTATAGTTTAATATTTATTATACTAGACAATATATTTATTTTATTAAAAGGTAACTATAAAAAAAATTACATCTAGTATAATATGACATTAAACAATAACTAATTATATCACAGTTAAAATATCATATAACATAAACCTTACCATAAATCAAAATATATTATATAATAAATAGTTCAATAACATATTATATATTTTGTATTTCTTATTAACAGCGCCAGATTGGGAAGAAATTACTTACCGGGCTGTCCGCCTAGCCGGCCCAAATCTCTGATTCGAAATTTCTTTTCCCAAATCTTTCGAATATTTAACGGCCCATCGGGTTTTGCCCGGTAGCCCGCCAGCTCAATCCGGACATACTTATAACTTATTAATTACTATAAAGTATAGCGGCAACCTGCATTTTACATTGTCAATAACTGTCATTTGTACATAATTAAAAAAAAATGTTTAAAGGTAAATAATTGTCATTTGTCAGTTGTAGGTATATAATTTAAAAAAAGGTGGGTAAGTGGGTGTCGCTCTGCTGTACAGTAGGTTACAAGTGGGTCACTGTATAATGGATGGTATTACATTTGAATTCAATGATATTAGGTATATCATTGTATAAGAAAAACGATTATGAGCGGAGACGGTATGTCCTTCTAGGTACAAGGCATATTATATACTTATCTATGCATAGAATAATTAAGAAAAAATTGAAAAAAAATATAATAAGTAAAAAAGTATAATCATTTTAAAAAAAATTGACCTATAATGAATTCCAAATTAATCATATCACAATATCCATCAGGCCCTATTTTTATGTGCACCACGACACACAATGTGCACTACGAATATACAAGTGTGCACTACGATTTGAACGTGTGTGCACTACGGTCTACAAAACAAAAATTGCCAAGTCAGGGATCGGCATGGTAACTTTCTTGATTTTGAATTTTTAGAAATTTGTTAACTGATTTAATCACACCCAAGCGGTATAACAATATGAATCCAGAAAAATGTCGGCGTGAACAGCCCCACAAAAAATCATTTTCATTTTCATTTAGTGAGATAGATCTCCGAAACCAGAGAGCGGATTTCGTTGATTTTGGTCTTGTTAGATTCACATTGGTTAGGAAAAGTGCAGTGAAGATTTGCAGAACTTTATCTTTAATAGTTAATTCACTACAGAACATTAAAAAAAATTAAAACAAATTTTATTGGGCGTTTTTTGATGTTTTTCATCTTTACAGCTTTGTAATGAATTAACGATTGGAGATAAAGTTCTGAAAATCTTCACTGCAATTCTCCTAACAAATGTGAATTTAACAAGACCCCAAACAACAAAATCCGTTCTCCAGTTTCGGAGATCTACCTCGCTAAATGAAAATCTAGAGAAAATAACTCTTTTTTTTTTTTTTATCTGTGAAAAATAAAATAATTTTTTAAAAAAAATTTAATTTCACATTTAGTGTCTACCTGATAATCCCTTTTTAATGAGTTATCAACCTACTTTCTAGCTAGGTATCATAGTTTAGGAGAAAAGTTAAAAAATAGAAATTTTGGGACTGTTCACGCCAATGTTTTTATGGATTCAAATTGGGTATACCGCTTGGGTGTGATATCAAATCTCTCTTATTAAGATTTTATATTAAAGCTAGCTAAATTACCCACCTATTCATCATTACTGAATTACATTTTTATTATTTTCCTATTTAACACAAATTCGTGAAGTTTTCAAAGTTCAGACTTTTTTCATTTCAATTACCATACTTACTTGATGATAAATCAAGAAAGTAATAGCTATGCATTGTTATGATTTTAATTATTAAAAAGTTAAGTTAAGGTTTTTATTATTATATTATGCTATTTAATTTTTATGATTTTTATTAAAAGATAAGTATTTTGTTGTTTTATTGAATTGCATTGTTAAATTATTATATACATATGGTATATAATACATATATATGTAATATTTATTATGTAATACATTCCTTTTGCTAAGATGGTAGCGAGAATAAAATGAAATGTGCAGTCCGAATTTTTACAAATAATAGGGCCTGATATCCATTAATACTTAAAACGCGTTATACACCAACAACAAACCCTGATATACTATCATAGATATATAGTAGTATACTTTAGAAGTTTCAAGTACCCACGAATAATATTATAGGTACAATCACAACAAAATAACTAAAATAGTTATTCTAGGTTTTTTATTATGTAATTGCGTCCAAATTTGAATTTAAAATGTCTGTAAAAAATAACTGTGTTCATATATTTTTTAGATTTTTTGGTTACAGTATGAACTATTTATGAGAACCTTTGTTTTAAATTTGTAATCCTTAGCTATAAAAATTGAACATTTTATAATTTATTAATTACAATGATTAATAATTTTCGATTAATTTTGATAAATTTTGTCAAAATTCGATCTTTAAATGCTTATAAAAAAAAATTGTGCCTATGTACTTTTAATAATTTTCAACTGATATTGTAACAATATATCAAGAGCCTTGTATTAAATTTTTACACTTTTTGGCCCAAGAGATAAAACTTTATTGATATTTATAGAATAAAAAACTAAAAAAATTGGAAACTGAAAATATCCGTAAACAGCTCAAACAGAGTCAAAATATTTTCAAAATTGTATGGTGTATAGGAAATGCTAATATAAATATTCAGTGAAATATTCATGTATATATTCGTTTTTGAATTACAACAAAATAAGGAAATCGCTACATGAGAAATCGAGTGAATATCCAATGTTGTAAAAATTTGAATTTCAAACGCTCATAAAAATTTAATTTGACTTTCATTTTTTTTTTTTGATAAAGGTAGATAATTTTATAAGGAATCTTGTATTACATTTTAAAACCTTAGATTTAAAAAGAAAAATTTTTACGAATTCCTAACTCTAAATAATTGGCTAATTTTCGTGATTTTTCCATAACAATATAGTATAGGAGCCTTGTATTAAATTTTCTGCAAACTTTTTTAACCAACAAATAAAATGTTATTGATATTTTTAGAAAAAAAATGAAAATGAAAATGGGCCTAAATAGAGTTCAAAATAAATCAATACATTTTGAAAATGCTAATATAAACATTCAGTCAAAATTGCATGTACCTACGCGCGGTCATTTGTTTAAGTGTTGCACCAAAAACCCAATTCGATTTTTTCGAAAACCGATTTTAGTGTAAAAATTCCCGATTTTCCTTAATTTTTATTTTGTTTTTCACGCCGCTTTTGAAATTTACTGAAATTTTTACTTTTGACCCCCCAAAGTACTAACTAGATTCACTTTCCTATCAGAAAAGCTACTGTTGAAGAAAATCCAAGCACTTTTACTGTCCTAAAACGTGATGACAGGCACAAAAAAAAATAAATAAATAAGAAAAAAACACACATCATCATTGTAAAATCAATACATTCATCGTTCCACTCAGAATCTAAAATTTAAAATAATTGAAAAAATGTAACTGTGTACAAATTTAAAATAATTTAGTGGCATTGCTTTCTATAAGGTTGTGGCTAACTGCCATTTTAAAATCTAATATACTTATATCATTATTTTTAATTTGCACACATACCTTTTTAGGCTGTTTTTTCAGTTAGTTGTTTTGTACTCTGTCTTCTACATTACTCAACGCCAATTTTGCTTGGTCTGCAGCAACTTCCATTTTCATTTTTTTTATTAAATACCAAATTCTTGGAGCTAGATACATATCGCGGGTTTTACATTCATTTATTATAATATTAAACATTTCCTCATATATGTAACTTGAGCTTATAAACAGCTGTAATAAACACTGATTTTTTTTTTGTACACGTTTCACATATAATTGTTTAAAAAAATCAGAAGCAAGGCCAAAGTGTCCATCTCTAAACCATGTATCCGACTCAGCTAGTAAGGACAATCCTATATCGGTGGCAAACATAATAATTAATAATCCTTTCACTGCAAGTCAAATGTCAATTACTTTTATTACCTACTGTAGTTCAGTCTATTTCAAATGTATATTAATTATATCTATACCTAGTTTAATAAATATTTGGTGTACTTACTATATTTTATTAAATATTATTATGATGTAAAAGTATATAAAAATTATATACTATACATAAATATATGGTTATAGAATATACCTATGTCCAAAAAAGGTTAGGTTACCTATATTATACAAATATTGAAAAATAAAATGTACGATATAATGAAAATGTGTTATGATTTAGTTAGTACGGGGCTTTTTTTTTTCCTATAGGTAGCTGGTAGGCCTCTTTTTACCATATTTTGATATTGGAGATTTTTTTTCCGAATATACCAATTCACGTATAGCGTCGCTACAGCTTACAATACACCTAAATAGGTACCTACCTAATGTAGCGATAATACTTTGGTGCACTATATGTCTATATCTAAACATTTTCGGTTAGCGTAGGGAAAATTTCCATTTTTTTGTCGCTACCTTTAGCCTATTTGGTGATAGTTAACATAGTATGAAAATATTATTATATTTATTTATATTATAATAATGGTTAGTCATGAGTATATTAATGAATTTTAGATTCTGAGTGGAAAAGGGTCAAAAGTGAAAAATGTCAGTACATTTCAAAAGCGGCGTGAAAAACAAAATAAAAATTAAGGAAAAACGGGAATTTTTACACTAAAATCGGTTTTCAAAAAATTCGATTTTGGTTTTTGGTGCAACACTTAAACAAATGACCGTAGGTATATGAAATTTTGACTGAATGTTTATATTAGCATTTTCAAAATGTTTTGATTTATTTTGAACTCTATTTAGGCCCATTTTCATTTTCCATTTTTTTTCTAAAAATATCAGTAACATTTTATTTGTTGGTTAAAAAAGTTTGCAGAAAATTTAATACAAGGCTCCTCTATACTATATTGTTACAATGGCATTTGAAATATATTAAAAATCCTTAGTCACAGTTTTTTTTTAGAAGCATTTTAAGTTCAAAAATTGACAAAATATGGAAAAATCACGAAAATTAGCAAATTATTTTGAGTTTAGAATTCGTAAAAATTTTTCTTATTAAATCTAAGGTTTTAAAATGTAATACAAGATTCCTTATAAGATTATCTACCTTTATCAAAAAAAAAAAAAATGAGTCAAATTAAATTTTTATGAGAGTTTGAAATACAAATTTTTACAACATTGGATATTCACTCGATTTCTCATGTAGCGATTTCCTTATTTTGTTGTAATTCAAAAACGAATATATACATGAAAATTTCACTGACTATATTTTATATTAGCATTTCCTATACAACATACAATTTTGAAAATATTTTGACCCTGTTTGAGCTGTTTACGGATATTTTCAGTTTCTAATTTTTTTAGTTTTTTATTCTATAAATATCAATAAAGTTTTATCTGTAGGGCCAAAAAGTGTAAAAATTTAATACAAGGCTCCTGATATATTGTTACAATATCAGTTGAAATATATTAAAAATACATAGGCACAATTTTTTTTTTTTAGCATTTAAAGATGGAATTTTGACAAAATTTATCAAATTTAAAATTGAATAATTATTTTGTAGTTAAAAATTTATAAAATGTTCAACTTTTATATCTAAGGATTGAAAATTTAAAACAAGATTCCACGTGAGTAGTTAATTCTGTTACCAAAAAATCTAAAAAATGCATACTCACAGTTTATTTTTATAGTCATTTTAAGTTCAAATTTGGATGAAATTACATAAAAAAAAGGTGGGTAAGTGGATGTCGCTCTGCTGTACAGTAGGTTACAAGTGGGTCACTGTATAATGGATGCTATTAAATTTGAATTCAATGATTCAATATCATTGTATAAGAAAAACGATTCTGAGCGAAGACGGTATATCAGTCCAGGTTTAAGACAAATTATATACATATCTATGGTATTAAAAAAAAAATTGACCTAAAATAAATTCCAAATTAATCATATCACAATATCCATTAGGTACTTATAACACGTTATACACCAACAACAAACCCTGATACTATCATATATATATAATAGTACACTTTAGAAGTTTCAAGTAGGTACCCACGAATAATATTATATAATCACAACAAAATAACTAGGTTTTTTAATATGTAATTTCGTCCAAATTTGAACATAAAATGACTATAAAAGTAAACTGTGATTGTATATTTTTTAGATTTTTCGGTAAGAGAATTAACTACTTACGTGGAATCTTGTTTTAAATTTTCAATCCTTAGCTATAAAAACTGAACATTTTATAATTTATTAATTACGATGATTAATAATTTTCGAGATTTTGAAAAATTCTATCAAAATTCGATGTTAAAATGCTTATAAAAAAAAATTGTGCCTATGTATTTTTAATATTTTTCAACTGATATTGTAACAATATATCAGGAGCCTTGTATTAAATTTTTACACTTTTTGGCCCAACAGATAAAACTTAATTGATATTTATAGAAAAAAAAAACTAAAAAAATTGAAAACTGAAAATGTCCGTAAACGGCTCAAAAAGTGTCAAAATATTTTCAAAATTGTAGGGTGTATAGGAAATGCTAATATAAACATTCAGTGAAATTTTCATGTATCTACAGTAATTCGTTTTTTAATTACAACAAAAAAAGGAAATTGCCACATGAGAAATCGAGTGAATATCCAATGTTGTAAAAATTTGAATTTCAAACGCTCATAAAAATTTAATTTGACTTTCCGGTAGAAATTTTTTTATTGATAAAGGTAGACAATCTTATGAGTAATCTTGTATTAGATTTTCAAATCTTAGATTTAAAAAGAAAAATTTTTACGAATTCTTAACTCAAAATAATTTGCTAATTTTCGTGATTTTTCCATATTTTGTCAATTTTTGAACTTTAAATGCTTATAAAAAAAAATTGTGACTAAGGATTTTTAATATTTTTCATCTGCCTTTGAAACAACATATTAGGAGCCTTCTATTAAATTTTCAAGCTTTCGCAACCAACAAATAAAATTTTATTGAAATTTTTAGAAAAAAAACTAAAAAAAAATGGAAAATGAAAATGTCCCTAAACAGTTCAAAATAAATCAAAATATTTTGAAAATGTTATCGTGTATAGAAAATGCAAATATAAACAACCAGTGAAAATTTCATGTATATACGTTCATTTGTTTTAGAGTTACACCAATAACCAAAATCGATTTTTTGGAAAATCAATTTTGCGTAAAAATTCCCGTTTTTCCTTAATTTTTATGTTGTTTTTCCCGGCGCTTGTGAAAACTACTGGGAAATTTAAATTTTGACCTCCCCAATGCACCAACGATATTCACTTTCCAATCGAACAAGATACTGAAGTCGAAAATCGAAGCATTATTTCGACTACTTATCGTGTACACAGATACAAAAAAAATAAAAAAATAAAAAAATAAAAAAACACACATCATTGTAAAATCAATACATTCATCGTTTCACTCAGAATCTAAAACTTGGAATAACTATTTTAGTTATTTCGTTGTAATTGTACCTATAATATTGTTTCTAAAGTACACTATTATATATCTATGATAGTATCACGGTTTGTTGTTGATGTATAACGCGTTATAAGTAGATACCTAATAGATATTGTGATATGATTAATTTGGAATTGATTATGGGTACCCTATTAAAGGTCAATTTTTTTTTTAATACCATAGATATGTATATAATATGTCTTAAATCTAGACTGACATACCGTCTCCGCTCAGAATCGTTTTTCTTATACAATGATATTATATCATTGAATTCAAATTGAATACCATCCATTATACAGTGACCCGCTTGTAACCTACAACTGTACAGCAGATTTTTATTTTATTTTAGTAACACAATATTATAGCGCGCACCTAGTATATGATCTATGAGCGCTCCGCAATTGTTTCATGTTTGTGATAAAATATTATCCCCGAGCCCCGACTATATTATTTTACATTATAGCTTCTATTCTCGGACCTCGGTTGTTATACGAGTGCCCGCACTTGATAATTATGATAACTTTAATAAAGCACATTTTTTATAGATAGTGAAGGGTGGAAAAAAAGTTTCTGAGAGGCAGTTATTGAAAAATACATAGGAGGGGCTGAAGCCCCCCCAAATTTTTTACTCTTATTGTGCCTATGAGTATATACTAAAATTACAACTACATCCGAGGGCCCCAGCAGGAATTTGTCAAGAGGAGGGCAAAATATTTTCCTTTTTACATTTTTTGTCTCACTATTCTATTAGTGATAAAGTATTTTTTGACATGTTTCTTTGATCCTTCATATAGACAGGGAATGTAAAAAAATATTTATGAATTATACGTAGATATAGTTAGTTAAAACTTAATCTTACAGCATTAATTTTAATTGTTATGTAATTTTAAATTAGCAAATACATTTTTTTAATAAATAAAATTTTAACTCTGATTTTATAATTTTAGGTAATTTATAAAATTAAATATTTCTAGCTTATTCAGTCATTGATACCACAAACTTCACAAGATATCCCACCATGATGTAGAAAGCATAATTTCAGCATAAGTTTCTGTAATTAAAAATAAAATAATAGAAATATATTATTCCTTAAACATGTTCCTGTCTATGTACTTAGATTTAAAAAATAATTTGAATGTAATACCATTTACTAAATATGTAAATCAATTTGTTGGTCCAAAAATTAATCTTTTTTTAAAATTATTGCATTGATTCTTGTATACTTTTTTAAAGATTTGATGATGTTTAAATACTAATATATAATAGATATTAGGCATCGATTGTTAAAGAAAAGATTAATCAAAAGAAATAACCATGTAATTTGAATGTTAGTAATAATAAGCATTTTATCAATAATATCGAGAATATTGTAACTTAATACAAGAACTGTAGAACAATATGATTTGTTATTTAAGAAAAATATAAAATTACAATTACTCATCATAATTATATATATATATTTGATAATAACTCTGTGACCCCACACTATACCGATTAACAATCAATTATATTTCAAATTTATTACAATAAAAAAAAACATTAGATCTTGTATATTTATATATTATGTATTTATTATATATAGGTCCAAATAAAAAAATATATATTTTATAATACAACACTAATTACAGTTCATTGTTTAAATATATATATAACATACATAAAGTTCAACATATACTTAATAATTAATTTTTATACACTATAAAGTATAAGATTTCCCAGATCCACGAGAATCAGAGAAAGCAACAGATCTATCTCCCTCTTTTTGTACTATATTAGAAGTAGGATAAGGCAAAGTTGCTTCAGATAAATTAAATCCATTACTTAATAATAATTCTGAAAATTGTTTAGTTATATTACTTGGATATTCAATTGCAACATCATTATTTTTTAAACGAAAACGAGGAATATTATTAACACTCAATATGTCTTGGGGATCTGTTTTTAACATTGATAAAAGTAATTGAGTACCATCACGTACATCAGCAGCACCTGAGATTAATCTTCTTCCACATATATTTCCTGTTTCTACAGCAATAACTGGTAAATGCAATGATGTCACTCGTTCTGTTTGATTTATTATATGATCTTTAAGATTTGAATCCAAAATATTATTCAAAATATAACCAGAATTAGTTAAAATATGGGATCCAAAAACAGAACCAAGACCACTAAGAAACAAATTAAAATACAAATCTGAATAAATATTTTATCAAATAATATCTTAATCTAAATCATATAACGTTATAATTGAAAAAAAAACTGAAAATTGTAATTTATTTTCCATTGTTTAATCTATATTAATGTTGCATTTTTATGTTAAATTGTGTAGTATTTGAGCTTGCTTCACCCACCACAAGCTATGCTTTTGGTGTGGCGTCATAAGCTCTATCTACTTTTAGTTTTTTTTTGTCTCTTCATGTTATTATATTATTTCGATAATAAACAGTATATCATTAATATAAGTAATAAGTATTATATACCTTATAATAGTTACATAAAGATCAAAAGCATCTGTAGTAGAAACTTGTAATCCTGAATTTTGATTCCAATTATCTCCTAAACCATTACAAATCATCATGAAATATATTAAATAATTAATACATTTTAAGCTTCCAAATTAAGTACTTTTAAAGCTATTCAATAATGATAGATCTTCAACATTTGTATTAGTATTATTGATTTTACTTAATACTTCCAGTAAAATTGGTCCTCCGGTACCATTATTTGAAGTTATAATGCAATAGTTCATAAAATTTTGTTTTAATACTGGTAAAATAAGCGGTTGGTAGCTAATTACATCATCTGGCTTTAAGGTAGACTCCAATTCTTTAGACATTTCTTTGTAAAATTCTTAAAAAAAAAAAATCATATTATATTTAAATTAAATATTTTTTTATAAATATGTTCATATAGTAGATACCACACTAATATAACTTTTGATTCACATTTCATAAAATTGTAAAAATATCACATATCATAACTATTTTACATTAGAACAATTACAGTACCAAGTTTTAAGTAACTTAAGTACCTTATTTGTCATTTATGATTTATTCGCGGGAACACATAAAATATACAAGTTCTACTAACATGATACAAAAGTAACAATATTATTAATGTACCGTCCTTTTTTTTTATAGCATACCAATGGGTCCATTTAAAGATATTGAGGTAAGAGTTTTTATAAGACCATTTGGTGCTTTAACTATTTGACCAGGTGATCTAGTTGATACTGTGGATAACCAATGTTTAAGGTTATCATCTTTCACTAACATAGTGGTATTCTGATGAGTTGCTTCAAGTAAACTTTTGGTAACAGTTATGCCCATCCTGAAAATAAATACAATAATTTGGTATAAATACATTTAGTAAATTGGGTCTTTCTTACTTTGCTAGGTTTATGGAAGGTTCAACTAGTGTCTTCCAAGGAAGAATTCCATATTTTACATTAGCATAAAACAATCCTGCTATAAAACCTGGTACTCCGATAATATTATGGGAACTATGTGTAGCTCTAAAATCAATTGTATTTCCTATACCAGTTCGATGATCATACACCACCATAACACCACTTCTAAAAAGATAATTAGATAATTTTAAAATAACTATAATATAGTATTTAAGTTATATATTATTTTACTTGCCCTCCTAATCCTGAAAGATGAGGGAGTACTACAGAGTTGCATAATGCAGCAGTAATTGCTGCATCAACTGCATTACCGCCCATTTTGAGCACGTCAATTCCGTGTTGAGAGCATTGATCATTATCACTTGCTACATTTCCATGAGGTACTAACTTTCAAGTTAATATGATTTTAATTAAATTTTTTACTACGTAAATTTTAAATTTATCATACCTGATGTGATCCATAATGAATGTGAATTAATAAAATAATTAATAATCCAATGCAAAATACCATACAAAAACCTACAATTAATTTAAGTAGAGCTTTTTCATTGTTATTTTTGGCATAAAGTGGTGTCTTTTCACAACCATCATGATCATAAACAGCTGAAATTATATAAAGTTCAAATATAAATAAGTACATTGATCAAATAATAATTAAACTAATTTTAAATAAAAAATAAAAATGATAGAACTAATTATTGCATTAAAAATGTTTAGTCACATTTTTTTCAAAGCAGTTAAAAGATATAGATACATATGTCATAGATATAATTCAAGAATTAAAAGTTATTAATAGGACCATATGCATTACTAGATCCAATTATGGGTAATAACTGGTTAATTCATAGTAAAAGATTGTTTTTAAAGTTTAGGTGAAGATAGAAAACTTACAAGCCAAACTTGCAACATTTAGGACTGATTTCACCAACACAATTAACGCTTAATCGGCTGATAACAGATATTTAACCGGTCGATTTAAACTCCGGTTAACTTTAATCTTAATTAACTGTGTTGGTGAAATTGGCCCTTAGTGGTTAAATATTACAATAGGTATATTATATCATATTCATATAATAATTAATAATAATGATAATATATTATATAATTAAAAATATAATAATCTGGTTTAAAATCAAAATTATTTTACATTTTTTAACAGCATGAATTTATTTTATAAATACTAAAAAGTATTCTATGTTTACAGACTATAAATTTTAACTTTTCAATTTCTTTGAAACAGCAATAAACCTTATTGTTATTACATAAATTAGGGATAAAAGCATTTTAGGTATTGATTCCAAACTAGTAGGTTTGGTATCTAAAACAATTTTTAAATTTTTTTTAATATTAGACTATCTAGAGTTTAGACTAAATTGTATGTGAGCTAAAAGAATCAAGTACTAAAAACATTTTCATATTCAATAGATACAGTTTCTAATGGTGTAACAGAGATAATTAAAGACAATAGACAAAATAAACCCATACATTGACTGGAAAATTTATCGATAGTGTCGTCATCCATCGTAGACTACTTTCTCGCATATCCGTCTTAATATAATTCCTCAAAACAACTATTAGATGGACAAATAATTGATTTAAATATTTAATAAAAAAATTGAATGAAATCGGTACATAAGTATATAATTTAAATATGATCACCAGACACCAAGCCACGTCTGATCTCCACAAAATACGATTTAGGTCTGGTTTTTCAGTAGTTATAGATATACTAATTAGTAGGCTTCTTCAACGATATAATTTTGAATATCGATATCGTTTTGATTGTGTGCGATATCGTATCGCGATATCGAAAAAAAAATTTTGATGTCGATATATCGATATATCGATATTCCGATATATCGATATCAAAATTTTTTTTCGATATCGCGTTATCTCTATTAATTATTTATTTTTCTGTTCTCCTGTGCTATTTTTAACACAAATAGTAAATACCCAATAGCCGGGGTATATCGATATATTTCGATTATCGAATATATCGATAATAATTTATCGATATATCGTATGATATATCGATAATCGTTTATCGATATATCGTACGATATATTAAGATTATCGATATCGAAATTTCCGAAAAAAAGTTCGCGATATCGATATCGTATCGAAATATCGATATCGTTGAAGAAGCCTACTAATTAGTAATTACTATATAGTATACGACATACATACGTCTTAGTCACGGTTATCTACACGTTATCGTGTAGATAACCGTGGTCTTAGTATACGACATACATCTATATAGATAACTGATAACTGACTGTTGGTCGTTGGATAAATTTATTTAGCAGATAAAATTTTGGTTAAGCCATGAGGCATGAATGCCATTATGCTTAAGAATTTTAATGTGCTATCACCATATCTTAGTTCATGCTATCACCTATACTCTATGTGCCAAGATCACGATTTAAGATATATCCATAGATAATATATTATAATGTATTATCTAATATCTATGTTATAGATATAAACTTTTTTGTTATCAGTTTTATTTTACAAACATCTGGAAATTCGATAGGCTAAATACATGACAAGATAAATATTCATCCATAGACATAAAATAATAAATCCATGAAATTGTCATGAATAAATCTATGTCTTGTCTATTGCCTATGTTAAACTCTATATTATATAACTCTATATTATATAGATTATAGATATTCTTTTATATCATGTCTATGGGTTAACCGGTTTAAAATTATCCCGCAAATTTTAAAATTATGGTCCTAAGTCCTAAAGTCCATACATCCCGGTGACATGGTTAATTTTTATTCACACCATTTTATCCTAGCAAATGTCTATCGTGTATTTGTATCGTGTACCCGAAATTCAAGAATCAAAGTTTATAAATATATTTTAATTCTAATCACGAATTAAGATATATCTTAATTCGTGATTCTCATTATAAATTATTAAATCTATTGTTATATCAAATTTGGTTATATTCGTGACTAAATAAACTTATCAAAGTTTAGAAGTAAGTTATCTGAGTTAGAGAAGTAGTTCAGTTGATTAAACATATACATCTATAATTCATTATAATATTTATAAAAATATTTGGAAATGTATTTGTATTCAGTCAGTATTGGATAGCAGCATTGATTGTAATTAATACTAGTATTTATAATCAATCAATAATCATAATAGGCAAAAAAAATTATTTCATATTAATACTATTATACTATAATTATATTAATACAATATTATTATATCATTAAATGGTTATCTTTAGAAAAATAGAAAGAAACGTCTGCATAAAAAATGTATCTGGTGGGGGGGGAATGCCCATTTACCATCCTGTCCATGGTCTTATATAATCCTATATAAATATAAGAATATTCTACTATTCTAGTCAGTAATATAATGCTCTATACTTCAAACATATGATAGAATTAACAAATTTCAAATTTGGACTGTGGGACACCACATCCATGATCCATCACAATATATTATTTATTATTCATATTTTATGGTTTTTGTTAGTTGGTTCAATGCAACATAAATTTTATAAATTACTAATTTTATTAGATCATTTTTGTTGATTTAGGAATGAAAAAAATTTGTCAAGTATTTAAATTTAAAGTAGTAGAAAAACTTTTATATATACAATCGTTCTTAAAAATAGTTTACAATAATTAAAATACAGTTATAAAACCAATAACATTTATTTAATAGTTTCATTGTATCGCTTATAAGAATGGAATAAAAATAAACACACGTCTAATCTCATAATGTTTAGCTGACACTTGCGCAACAGCCTGTTTATTGAGTCCAGCAATATTCGTTCACTCGGTGAAAATAAATTGTCCATAGCTTCTTCGAAAAAATCCTTGTCGGCTTCTTGTTTATCTTGTAATCCTTGAACCATACCATCAAATCGAGCTTTATTTTTTAGTAATCTCTTATTATCTTCACAAGTCTTAAACTTCCACATCATGCAGTTCCCAATCATTTTTAATATTTCTTCTGTTAATTCTTGATGTAGTTGACGTTCATTTAAATGGTACAAATAAAAAGATTTCCCATCATTTCGACCTAAACGAGTATTTGGTTTTTTTAATTCTTGAACTTGGAGGTAATTATTCATAAATAGTTCAGATGTTAATGTTTTTGTTTCACGGTCTGGTATTAAAGCAGTTTGTTGGAGACGTTCTAGTTCAAGAAGTTTGTTGCTCCTAGTCGCTCTGAATAACCTTGCAGAACTTTCACCAAACTTATAGCTTACTACTTGGTCCATTATTGAATCATTTAAACAATTTATAATCTGTTTAAAATTAACAGTTATGTTACACATTGTACCATAAGATTTACATAAAAATTTAGTAGGGTCTTCTTCTATCATTGTTATATATTCTAATAAATAATTATGACCAACAGATAAATTATTTCTAATTAATTGTAATGATATAGGGTTTGAAACTGGTGCGCTACTGTCAGCACATTGACTTAATATTGTAGACATTACTTCACCTACAATTGTATCATCAAATGTTCTTACCACAGCATCTATGATGATTTTATTTCTCATGTCTTGATGAAACTTATTAAAATTGAGAGTAAACAAAATTTTTTTCTCATCTTTTTGATTTTTTGTTGGTGGTGTAAATATTTTATTTTGTTTAACTTCAGTCCAAACAACATATGTAGGTGTTCTTATAAAATATTCATTTCTTATTAATTCAATAGCTTTTTCCCAATAATTATTGTACAGATCATCGGTTTTATTTTGTAATTTAATACATTCGCTAACAATTTTTGATAATGAAGCTCGACCAAGACAAAGTAAAGTTTCAACAAGTTCCTCGTATTGATTACCAAATTTTCTCTTAATAATTGATAAATATTTTGGGTACCTTAAAATCATTAGAATATTTTCCATATTCAGTTTGTATTCTATTTGTACTGAGTGGACATTACAAATTGCCGATACAAAATTGAATTGCAATAAAACAATTATCGTTTCCTGTATCAAGTGCCGGGGATATTTTCCATCCAACATGGTACTCAAAGTCATCAGGGATTTCTGACCCCATTGTAAAGGTTTTGCAATTTCGGAAACGTCTTGACCAAAATAATCACGCAAAATAGATGTACAAATTCGACAATAGTCGGATGACATGTCAATATTAATTCAAAATACTTTGAGATAAACTACAGACGAGAAACTACCACGGTAATTCAGTACCACGATCTATGACTATGAATTAACTAATCTTTAATCTATGATTATGATACATTCAACATTGATACGATAGGATCTTACACTAGTATCACAGAACAAAGTTGTGTTCTGTGCTAGTATCACCAGTGGATACACCGTGATAAATGATAATACGACCATAATCATAGATAATAGGCGATACCACGGCTGTTAACGATAAATTAACAGAAAATTAACCGCCATAACCTAAAAAATAATTGTATAATGTTTTGCCGTATTTATTTTTTGTTGTTTTTCATATTGTGAATTATGGTAATATAATAACATATTATTATGTGCTTTAAACTTAATATGAAATTAATATTAACTATTCTGTATTTCAGTCGTCTGTTTGTTCTGTTTGATTAAATAATTGTTGAAACTGCTGGAATTTATTATTACAACTGCCTTAAGCATGGAGAGTGAGTAAAATTGAACTCATTTAAAATAATTTTATGCCGGAACTTATATATTTGTATTAAATGTTATGTTTCTAATTTATCTAGCTTGCCATTTTGTTTTATTTCCATTAACTATGTATATAATATAATTTATTTAATTTTAATTAGCTGAATTGTTACAAAGTTCGTGGTCACCATATACAGAGCTGCTACCTGTTTTGGAGAACATTTTTACAAATGAAAGACCGAATGTAGCATTTTTAAAACGCATTTTACGTGCTGCTAAACCACATTTTTTGAATGTATTTAAGAACCCAGTAAGTTGTTATTTAATGTTTTTAATCGTACATTTTTATATTAAAACCAATAATTTTAGCCAAAAAATGTTAAAAGTCGAGAACAAATAATGAAAGTTTTGGCAGATGGAAAACCAATTCAGAAATTTGAGATGTTGGCATTACCAAAAGATATGGCCGAAGAAGTGCTTATTCTCTCAGATATGTATGATTTAGATGAACTCATGTCTTTGGAACTTTTAAATACTGGTAACTGAATATTTGTCTTTACACTTATTTCACAGATTTTAAATAGAGTAACATATAAGATTTATTTGAAACTATAAATTAATATGGTGCTTTTAATAATGGATTATTTTTCAATCAATTTGTTAATTTATTTATTTTCTGAAAATTATATATTATATTATTTAAAGGAATTTGATCAATAAAAATGTTTTTTTAAAAATAAAAATAGCTCGATACCAAAATCCAAAATATCCAGAACTCTGCCGAGGTTTAGTAGCAGTATTGTTGTATTATAATGCACATCGTATGCTTGCATCTTCATTAAGACTTCTCATTGAAGGAAGCACAGGTCGAACTTGGATGCCACGTGTAGATCCTGCATGTGCACAACATCTTGGCCAATTTGTTGATCAACTAATGAATGATGGATTATTTATTAATATTTTAAGTAATTATATTTCTTAATTTTAATTTTATCTGTATTCTCACTTAAAATTTTTATTTAGTTGTTTTGGAGAACAAAGATTTGACTAAAGAAATCGAATTGCTTCAAAAAAATAAAGCAATTGGTGGTCCAAAACATCACCAACTTGTTGTGAGCTTATTTACTGATATTCGTACAATGTTAGCAGAATGTGTATTTTATTATTCTATTCAATTTGGATTATCAAAACAACAATTAATTAGGTAAGTTATAACGTTTTAATTTTCAATTTTCAATTGAATACTATCATTTACTTTTAAAGTGTTATTATTTATCCTTCATCATTTTATTTAGTTTATTACAACATTTGCAAAAGATAAAACCAGATGTAGAATCGCATGGAGTGGTTAGCAAAGTACCTTTATTAATGGTGACTTCATTTTTATATGCTATTGATTTGGATTGTATGAATAATACTCAAGAAATTAGTGGTGGTAATTCGACAAATAATAAAATATACCTATTTGTTGTATTTATTATTTAAAAAAACAAATTTTTAGATACTAAGGAACAATTTTTAACTTCGGCATATACTGAACTTACTACACACGATTGGGAATGGCCAGAACTGAAAAGTATTGCTACTTTTGGATTAGCTGTAGCATTCTCAAAATTACGTTCTTCACAACATGTATTTCAGGATAAAAATTTATTCAAAATTGATGAAACATTAATTAGCAATGCTATGGATACTAAAGTATTTAGATTTTTGAACCAAAATGTTGCTCCTTCAGAATTTCTTCATTATGTGGTACGTATTATAGGTTTTTGTATATTGTGCAGTTTAAATAAAAAAAATTAATTTTGAGTACTGAAAAGTAATTAAAAATGATATGACTGTTTCTAGATAATAATAACATAATACATTTGTATTAATTAAAAACAATATCAGTATACACATTACATAATATCTCCAATAACCATATTAGTGTTAAGCTTATTTAATTGAATAAATCATGAATCATCATAATAAATTGTCTCAAATACTGATACACTGTACCACATTATTTAGTTTTAAACACAATTTTTATTTTAGGTATTCATGATAAAAAAATTTCATCAATTGATCACTGAATTTATTGTTATGATGCCACATACCGTCAAAGAAATAAGAAACAAATCAGATGAAATAGCACATACAATTTTAATTTATTACCAAGTAATTTATACTAACAATGTTTTAAATGATCTAATTTTATTTAATCAATTTAATTTTTAGGAAGGATTAGAACCTCCAACAAGTGAAGAAAATCATTTTGAACAATTGTTAATGTTGATGGCAGCATTGTATGCAAAAGATCCATTAGAATTGAATTTAAATTTGGATTATTGGCCACCATCTCGTGAACAATTAAAAACAATCAAGATGTCATCTTTTTTAACGACTCAAAAATTTCAAGCTTCATTATATAGATTTATCTGTCAAACTGGTGACATGTTGCCTCACATGTTATTTGTACCATACTTAAATATGTTAAGCTCATTAGCAACATCTGAAACTGGGGCTGAAAATGTGTTTAATCACTTTCATTCTAATGCAACTAATTCAAATCTTACTTGGGATCACTTTTTCAAACTTTTTGAGATATTATACAAATTTAAAGACAAGAAAATATTCCTCCAACGACACTGGTACAAAAGAGGACATCAAAAAGGTATCACTGCTCTTGAAATACAAGGACTTCAAGCTGTATTAAAATTAATCAGAATTGTAGCAGGTTTGTTCCATTATTTCTATTAAAATTTATATTCATAAGCGAACTATATTTTTGTTTCGTCTACACCAAAATTTAATTTGTACTGCTGGTCAAAGTAATGAATAATTACTTTTTTCACTCGGCAAAAAATTAATTTGTCACTATTAATAGATGTAAACGTAATTATACGTTTTGGCTACTTTAACAAATATTTATGGAAGTTTAGTTACTTCCGTGCTGTTCTATGTAACAGTTTGGCTAATCTAGATATTGAGAACTGTAAAAACAGTTCATTATGGATTATCATAATATCGGTGGGACTGGCAGAGGCGTGACAAAAGGAGTTGTGTGATTTATCGTCATAAGGCAAAGCCTCTGTCTCAAACCACTTCCCGTCTTTTTCTTGTGTAGCACACAATATTAGATAGCTTTACATCTATTTTATATTATTACTAGTATTGATGTTATATTTTAGAACCAAAGCGGTCTAAGTCAAAAGTAACTTTTGTGGACCGTTCCGAATGGGAGACACTTCCAGTTTTATTGGGTCTTGTATCATGTCCAGTGAGAATTTCTCTCAAGGCAGATTTAATTTTGACACTTTCTACATTAGTTAAACCTCCACCATCAATAATATCAATCAATTTTTGGCAAACTCTTGAAGCATCTCAAATAATTGTAACTGTACCAACTATAAGCAGCTATCAAAGTCGTGGTATAATGGTAAATACAATCTTAAATAAAAATATTTTAGTTTATGTAATTTACTTTATTTTTTTTTATTATATCTTTTTATTTTAGGCAGAGTTAGATGATCTAGAACCTCGCAATGAAGAATATCCATTGACAATTGCTTTATTGAAATTATTGTCTACTCTTACAGAACAGCCAGTACCAAACCTTTTGGGTTCAAATAACCGAACACCCGGTTTTGATCCATATTTAAATTTTGTTATAAATAATATTTTTTTGAAATGTCTCTCTAGAGGTTATAAAAAACAAAATGAAAAAGTAAATGAAATTAATTTTTTAAATTTTTTAACATATTTCAATTAATCTTATCATTTTCAAGTGGGAAGTAAGTGGCATATGCCTGGAACTCGTATTAAAGTTTTTGAACCAATATGAACCTCAGCAAACAGATTTTGTGGGTAGTAGTGTTTTTCTACCCGATAATACTACTATTAATATCAACCCACCACCTGGCTTTCATATCATGACATACTTGTGCACAAATTCAGACTTTTTAAGAACAGTAAGATTTTTCTATAGTATAAATTATATAAATATTTCTCTACTACCTAAATGATAAACACATTTTTAGATTTTAAATATAATGCATACGGGCTGTCAAATGTTTGATCTCTATACCTCATTTAGTGGTAAAGAAGCAATGGAAAAAACCACATTAGTTGTACTACGTCTTTTAGAACAGGCTTTACATTTACAGCAAATATTTTTAAATGCATCTATTTCTTCTGGGTCACCTCTTATATATACTGGATTGCATAAAACTCTTGTTAGTATTAATGTAGCAACGAATGAACCAGATTATATAATCGATTTGTCCAAGTTAGTATAAACATTATAGTTTAAGTTTTTTTATTTGTAAATTATGCATAACTTTTTGTTTGAAGGTTTGTAACTTATACTCATTTACCAGAGCATGCATATCATGCTATTCGAATACTGATGACAATAACTTCTTATCCGATACCTCAGTCTCATATGGTATCATATTTTACTTCCAATCCTAAACTTACAATTGGTATTAGACATGGATTTGTGGAATGTCTAGAAGAAGAAGAATCAA